TTCAATAATTTAATAACAATGATTCTCACTTCTAAAATCATACTATTAGATTGAAAAAAAAGCACGTCTGTAAATTCTTATATTTTTCTGCATTACATGACTCAGTATTACGATATATTTATTCGTATCGCATAAGAAGAAATATAAATTTTCTATTGTTTATCCTGAGATATTATTCCTCAGTTAATTTTAATCCCTATGCCTAGATGCTTCTATATTAGGTATTAGAGAAGAGAATACCAAATAATCATACGTTTTAGTTGTTCTATTAAACTATAGTACAAAAGTTTTACATGAACCATTGTCTATTATTCTGAAGTTTTAATCTTTCGTAATATTTTACTTATTCATAAAAAATAATTGAAATATAATATCTAATTAAATTAACCTTTTCGAAGTACTTCATCTGGTCTCATTGGAATAATTGTTCCAAGTGCAAAAATAAATGTATGAACATATTTCATATATAAATAATATGTTGCTACAGCATCAGATACAGAATAATTTGATAATGTTTGTGGTTGTTCAACAGCTAAACGACACATATCTTCGGGATCAATTTCAATTGGATTATAACGTAATTTAGCTTTTGTTACAGCTTTAAGACCATGACTTTCAACAGGTAAATAACTATCACGTTTAACCCATTTAATACAATCCATATGTATACATGGACGTGATAAATAACAATCTTGAGAATCTTTTCGAAATCCAATTTCATTAAACATATTTAAACCATAAAATTGTGCACGTTGTTCAACAAATGGCATATCAAATGAATCACCATTATATGTAACTAATATATGAGGTTTAACATTAATAATATGATTAAAAAAACGTTTTAATAATTCAAATTCATTAGATTCATTAAATACATGAAAATGACCAGGATATTCTTTTTTTGGTGTATATTCAAAATCATCAATATCTTGTGAGATTATTTCACGATTTATTATTAAATAACCTTGTGTATCAATCATATAAGATATCATCATAATCTATGAAAAGAATTTAAAAAAAAAAAAGAAAGAAAATTTCTACAGTTCAATTCTTAACAATTGTCTAATATAACTCAAATTTAAGAACAAAAAATATTCTAAAACTTTTAGTATTAGAAGATTTCTCACGAATAGCTCGATGAAAAATCATGAAAGTTTCAAGACAGATAAAGTTTTTATGATAATTAGGATTAAGTCGAGATGCGTTTTTTGTTTTCTTTCAAAAATATCGTTCCTGGAGCTTAGAAGAAGCAAAATACTGATACCACGATTAGTCTTTTTTCAAGGGTACTCATTTTCTAGTAACAATGTTTTGAAGAAAAAAGCACTCCTCCCAATTTAAGCCCGGTAGGACGTACCATGTGGGAAAAAACAATGAAATACTTCGTTTAGAGATTGATTTTGAGAAGAACGAAAAGGAGTAAAACTGAACGTGTTGAGTGATGTTAGAGATCTATGATCTATACTCTGAACATCTTTGGAATAAGAAATAATCATTACGATTAGAAGAATTTGGCATACAAAGAATAATCACAGTGTGAGAGTTGAATTAAATAAACAACACAGTAGCAAATTTGTGAGATATTTACCTGTTCTGATGCAGCTGTAGAAAATTTCAATGGCATTTTAGTACATTCAATATCAAATGCAAAAACAATTGGTTCTGGTTGTTCGATTAAATCTGGTTTTAATACAAGTTGATTTTGTGGACCACTTTTTGATTGACCACGAACACCATACCTAATTATAAAATAAAATAAAATAATTATTATTATTTTCTATGTTTATTTATAAATACAAGCCAAAGGCCAACATTTATTTTTAAATCAATACAAGCTGGAATATGATATCGTACATCAAATTCACGTAATTCAATAATACCATCAATTTGTTTTCAGCAACATTTGCATTTGAAAGACCATCAACCATAAGATCACTACTTGGAGGGTGTGAGTGTGGGTGTGGGGTGTGGGTGTGGGTGTGGGTGTGGGTGTGGGTGTGGGTGTGGGTGTGGTTGTGGGTGAGTGAATACTGGAATAGGAGGAACACCCACACCCACACCCTTCTTGAATTCTAGGTTTTTTAGGGGTATATACGTTGTTATAGCGATAGATAAGGCCGATACATGCCGTTACATGCTGTTACATGCCGATACATGCCGATAGATACTGATCAGCAGGAACATATCAGAGATTATAGGAAGTAGCCGATACAACTTGTATCTGTATTTGCGCAGCCCTCATATCAGTAATAGCATTGTCGACTTCGGTTGATGTAGCACGTGGTTTTCCTGATTTAGAATGATCACTAAGATCTTTTGTTTGGTCCCATCTCTTCAACCAGCGAATAACAGTTGACCGGCTACATTTCATCACTTTGGCAATTTTAGAGAGGCTGAACTTTGGACCGTATATATTTTTTGCAAGAAAAACAATTTCATAACGTTGATGAAGTTCAAGTGACATGAGAATGTTGATTTCGAAATACAAAAGAAGAAAAATGGTCAAGAGAAGATTGAACCGACTATACACAAAAAAACCCGCTTTGATTACCAATGGTATTGTTTACTATAAATCGTTAGATGTCTCATGCTTCCATTTTGTGTTATAAGTGATTAGGAAGTGAACACACTAGTGATACAACTGATAACATATGCACTTTTTTCCATTCGTTTTTTTTGCAAAATTTCAGAAAAAACTTGTGTCATACGACAATGTTAAAAACTTTGAAATTTCCTATGAAGGTCCTGTCAATAAATCGATTGAGTTCGATTCTTCGTGACTACATATATACTAAGATGTTCGACTAGTTGAAATTTTATATTTTACAGCTTTGAAAGTTGATCCTATAAGATAAAGATAATTTCGTCAATCGGTGTATAAGAAAAGAAAACTTTTGGTAAAAAAAACTAGAATGACGCTGAGAAAAGTTTTGGTTGATTCTCTGTTGTTTCGTCAGTTAAATGTTGAATTATGATTGATAAATGAAGTACTAAATGTCTAATATCTAATATGGAAACGGCGCTGGAATTCCTTAAGATCCCGACCTGTAATTAGCCTTCCATTATTGTCATTAAATTTCTTCGATAACTTCTGCTCATGAATAGTTATCACTCTGTAATTTGTAGAAAAACTTTCTCGACTAGTGAGGATTCCTCAAAACAAATTTCAGAAAAAACGGTTAAAATTTGTCTTAGTTACAGTCAATTTATCTATAGGTGCCGATATGCCTGTAGCAAACAATTCTCAAATACAAACATAGAACTCAGCAAGACAAAGGTAGTTTCGCGCAAAAATTTTATGGTAGAAAGGTTAGATGTCCAGCTAACGAATGAAGGCTTCCGCACAAATGTAGCTATTCGGGTAGTAGAGATCCGAGTGCCTCAAGGTCAAGATAGTGTTTGACCCATAACTCCGTTATTTATTAGTATATTAAGTGCGGGTTGGTATCTAGGATCAGGGTTTACTGAGCTCTATTTGTAACAAAATTTTCAGCTTCGAAGCTTAGCTTTTTAGTTACTTTTATCTGGTATCGCTACTTATGGCCAGTAGTGTATATAAGAAATATTCATTCCATAGTTTAAATAACAATATCATAAATCTAGAAATAAAAATAAATGTAACATTGTTTATTTGTAAAATGTATTAGAAAAGTTACTGTAGAAAGAAAGAAATTAAAGGACTTTTCTAAATATAGTATTTGATTAAAATTCAAAACAGCTTTTTTTTCATCATTAATAAAAATCTCTTTGAAAAATTTTAATTCTAAAACATTGTGTTGTAGCGAGACATCAATAATCTTCGTATAAAATATGAATATTTCTTTTATTCAAAATAGGTCAGTCTCAAAATATTTTAAACTACTGCATAATTTTTCTGTTGAATAATGCTTTCTTCCCTCTTTGTTCTTCATAGCTTTAATTCTATTTGTTCGTAAATGCCCTCACTATTGCTATTTCAGTTCCATTTTTTCAAATGACTTTTTCCCAAAAACATTATTTGTTCCTCAAATAATAGTTCAGCGTGACAAGCATGATTTTTTCATGAAAAGAAGTTTTTCGTATATAAATGTGTATTTGAAATTTTGAGAAATCAATTACAGACTTGGATTCTCCGACCCCGACTTAATTTCGCCCAACTTTATAGAATATCGTTATTTCCTCAAAACATTCTTCCCTGAACACAAAAAACTCAATTCAAAATTTTGAGAAACCGACTTCAGATTCAGATTCCCCGACCCCGATTTAATTTCGTCAACCTTTATAAAATATCATTATTTTCTCAAACAAACCCATTCCTCAACCCAAAAAACTTAATTAAAAATTTTGAGAAACTAACTTCAGATTCAGATTCCCCGACTCCGATTTACTTTCGTCGACCTTTAGAAAAAAAATTCATCTTTGATGTTTTTTGACCTTGTGTTTTTTCGACCTTACGACAAACAGACACACACACACAAACGCATTTTAGTTTTTTTCATATGACCCTCGCTACAGTCGAGGTAATGACTTTGGAAGAAACATGTTATAATTGTTTCGAGGCCCTGTGTTTATCACATTACGATTCACTTAATTGAAGAGAACGTTGGATGCAAGGAAAAAACATGCCATTTATTGCGCAGATACGTATCCTTATTGAGCAACGTTCATTTTCTTATGGTACGTTCAGATGTTAATAAGCTTTCTAATTATGAGTAATGAACCAGGCTTCTCAAAAGAGTCAAGCAGAAACCTTTTAAATGGAAACCGCGTAAGTTACTTCAGATCATTTGCAGTTGAGAACATTGAAGGCTCACAAGAGACAAAGTATTTATCTTTTTTCTATGTCGATAAGCAGAAATCAAAAAGACTTGAAGAGATTTCAATCATATTACTTTTTTCAGTCTAAAGAGAAATTATAGTGGAATAGGATGTTTTTAGTATAAATCTAAATNTTTTTTTTCTATCTCAGTTTTATCATTATATATAAACATAATCAATTTTCATACCTAAATCTTCTTTTGCAACAAGATCACATGATAAAAATCGATTATGATATCGTTTTGATAAATAAGCATAAACATCATTTTCTCGTCCAACTTTTGCTCCAACATAAAAATACGGTGGATATATAACGGAAATTTTAAATCGATCACCTATATCACCAATAAAATAAAGATCAATTGCTGATACAAATCTTCGTCGTTCTTCATCAAATAATTCACATGGTTGTAAATTATAAAGCCAACCAATACGTTCTTCAAATTCTAAATAACGTAAACATCCATATAATTGATCAATACGATCTGATTGACTTAAACGTTCAAAACGTTTTTCAAGTGAAAGACCAAGACCAGTCGATGCAACAATATCTTCAGTAAAATCATCATTATTTCCAACATTTTCTTCAAATTCATCTTCTTCCATTATTTATCTGAAAACATATTAAATCAATATATTTTCTATTAAATAACAATCATCATACTAAACTATAAAAATACTCAAGCAAATTCTCCAGATAATGAAAATATTCTCATAATTAACTAAAACTAGTAAATTTTTCCGTGATTTTAAACAGTTATATGACATTTTGATAGAATTTTTAAAAAATCGGGTATTTTTTATAAATGATTTATAATATCTGTTATGATCTGCTGTTTAGAAATCAAGACACAAATAGAAGAATATACATTTGTTTTCTAGAAGAAAATTGATATGAATTTAAAAAAAAGAAATTCTTTATATAGGTAATAATAAGTGCGTAATCAATTGTTACGTGCAACGATTAAACAAAGAACCGCTGTAATTTTCCATCGAATATTCAGTAACCAATAAACATCAAGCACTACCATCGTATATCTTCATATGTTTGCAATAAAAAAATAATAATTTTTATTTACTAATTTATTTTAACAAAAAAATAAATGAAAATAATTTTTAATATTTGAAAAACGGAAATTTTCTAATTTATATAAATGGTCAATACTAAGACTGTAAAGAGAATAATAAAATAAAACAAAACATTTTTTTTTTTAAATCAATACGTAACATAGTATCTCACGCAATGATGAACATAAATATTGTGTTCTTTTGTTTTTGTTTTTTGTTTTATATTGTAGATATTCAATTTGTGAATAATGGGAAAACATAATGGAAATTCAGATGATGAAGATTTAGATGAAGCTGAATTTATTGTTGAAAAAATTCTTGATAGAAAAGTTGTTAATGGTGAAGTTTATTATTTTTTAAAATGGAAAGGTTTTGATGATACAGAAAATACATGGGTAAATGAATAATAAATTATTTGTTTTTAATTTTCTTTTTATTTTGTTATATTTATATATAAGGAACCGGAAATGAATCTTGATTGTCCAGAATTAATTGCTGATTATCATAAACGAGCAAAAAAACCATTGGAAACAAACGAAATAACAACAATGAAAGAGTCAAATAAACGACCAATACGAAATAGTATTGATCAACAAGAATCAATAATAGATTCATCGAAAAAAACCAAACAAACAGATGAATTTGGTTATGGTAGAGGACTTGAAATTGAGAAAATTCTTGGTGCAACTGATGTTTATGGGGAATTAATGTTTTTGTAAGAGATTTAATTTATATTTCTTTGAAATTTTTAAAATATTTTATTTCTTAGAATTAAATGGCAAGCAACCGATAAACCTGAATTAGTTCCAGCTCGAATTGGTAAGTCTTTTTTTGTTTTTGTTTTTATAATATGAATAATATTAAAAAACGTTTAAATTTTACTTTTAGCTAATGTTAAAAGTCCTCAACATGTTATTCGTTTTTATGAAGATCGTTTAACATGGGCAAATACAGATGAAAATCCATTGGATAAACAGTAGTAAACTCGATGGAACATACGAGTTATTTAAACTCATTGTGATATATAGATTTTGGTGTTTTGTTTCGTTTTTCTTTTGTTTTCGTTTTTACATTAGTAGTTCTCGCGAATAGAATTATCTTTTCATGATAGATGTTACGAAAAGATCAATAAATCAAGTGTTTCGTTTGTTATATTGATCTGTGTATGTGTATTAAAATAAATAAAAACATTTTCTTTTGTGGAATACAATACATTAGATGGAACTTATTCAATTGTCAGATATCATCTGATACCATCTTTTAGCTATGAGTAAGTTTCATTGAGACTAAAGAAACTTTAAAAGAGTTCGTACCTGAACGGAGATCTTATTGCTATTTAGATGTAAGAAAATGGTTTTTTGTTTTCTTTATTCGGAGAAGATAAGGACTGAAATTTCGAGCAAAAAAACTTTCATTTGATACTACGAGGTTGACTTATATTCAGTCAAAAAAACAAGTGTCGATATATCTTCTCTTTACTAACACCTACATCCCATGGTTACAAACTCTTTGAGGTTTCTCTTACTTTCACAGTCACGAGACAGTGTCCGATATTAAATTTTTTTTTTGTTTCATCGCACAGACAAATATAAACTTGGCAAAATGTGTATAGTTGTTTCTCACCATTTACATTTTTAGACTGTTTCGTACTAGTAGACGTATCCTGTGAAGAGTCATCTTAATATCACAAACGAAGATATAACATATCTATTTTACTAACTTAACTCTTTATATAATGATTGTCTATGTTACCGAAAACGATAGGTATTTGATCAGATAAACATTCGATTGTGATAACAAGACGAATCCTATATATTGAGTTGCGTTCATCAAAGAAAACTACTTGTTCTTGCAAATTTAACAAAATTGAAAAAGTTAGATACTCTTGTTTATCGAGATCGAAACAGAGTTAGCTAAGATATTTATTGAGTTGCTTGAGAAATAGCTTGCATTTGAACTTAGACTTTTCTGTTGATTAGATTTAGACCCAAGTTTAAGATAATAGTCAAATATAGATAAAAAATTCAAATGAATTTTTTATAAATTCGAATCTGTTTAAAAAAACGTTGTTTATCTAGATATCAGTGACAAATAATTCCATTTGATCAGCTGTAACTGTTATCTTCAATCTCAAGATTGAAGAAAGCTTTATTTGAGAAGCTTGACGATCAAAATCAAATGATTCATCGTAGCATTTGATAGTAATCAGTTCGTAGAATACTAAAACAGAATCACAAACAATGTTACATTGCAAACAGTAATACCAATTTGAAGTTCTTCTGTGAATATTAATTATTTTAATTTTTTTTTTTTTTTTTCGATATTTTAAATAAAAGTTAATGTAACGACAGTCTTCTCTTTCATTTTAGTTCATACGACCAACTATCTCGCTAGTCAGAAGTTATCCATATGCAACTAATCATGCAGAGAGAAATTTTTAAAGAACACTTTATTCTAGAAAAATTTTTCAATTAGAAAAATTGAAGTGTAAACCTTTTTTTTTTTTTTTGTAGCATTAAAAGCACAAACTTGATGCACAGATGGTGTGCATTATGTGTAAATAGAGAATAATGCAACTGCTTTTTCTTTCATTCATATTACTATTCATTAGATTGCTCTTTCGACATGTACATGTCCTTCATTATATTTTATTTCATTTTCTTGTGTTCTCAAAATAAGTATTTGCCAGAAGTCGTGGCGGAATTGTTAAGAGTAAAGTACCGAGTTATTTTACTTTGCTGCGACTTGAGACAAAGTGAACAATATCAAACATAGAAACTCTGATGACATTATTTTTCTTTTCTTTGATTTATATATATATATATGATTTATAAAAGAAATTGATGCTTTTTTGTGATGCTAGAGGAAATTTTTGAAGGCTTTACCTTCTAATCGATAGTTTCGATCTGATATGATATAACTTTTGAAATATTCGGGTTTTTATCGTCCTATGACCGAAGAACAAGTAATGCTCAATTATATATAACAAAGAAAAATGAAAAACCTGTTAAATTCGATGAATGTTTTCCAATCTGATTAATCATAAGCAGATTTAAGAAAAAAATTTTCTATCTAATTTTAAATTCATATCGTGTGGTATAAACATCTGGGTAAATTGTGCTAGCATTATACCCTTTGAAAGTAAATATGAAGAAAATATCTGGAAACATCTCTGAGTCTATTGAACTTTTAATAAAAAGATGAAATTAGCTTTTCTTCTTTAAATAATTATGATTGAAATCTATTGCGATAGTTTTCGAGTAAAATGCTGTTTTCTATATTTTTAAGAGCTGAAAATTTCATCATAGTTGTGTCGTACGGTCTGCTAAAAATTCTCAAAAACTTATTGTTTCATCTCTTGTAGTTACTGAGAAATCAAAGGAACAATGTCAAAAATCTGTCAGGACATCATATAGTAGTACAATAGCAGTCTTTTTCTCTAATTTGTAGTTTTTATTTGATTTAAAAGTTTCTTGAAAGAAAGTTTTTTATAAAAAGATCTCCGGCCCTTTAATCTATCAAACATGAAAAGAAAATTCGAGTTTGCCTTTAAATTGACTTTAGTAGTTGCAATTTAATCAATCAAAACATAAAATGGTCGAAGTGCCATGTTTAGGAAGTTTTTGAAGAATTTGATGAGTAAATCAAAACAAAACTTTGATTGCTTTATATGATCGGAAAGAGGATAGTTTTAGTTACAAAATAGATCTAAAAATTATTTTTCCCACACCGGAATTGTAGCATATAGAAGAATGATTTTCTTCGGTAGGGGGCGCCAAAAACTACTGACTTTTTTTTGCTTGAAAACCCCATAGCAACAGCGGTTACAAGATTTGAAATTTTTACGGCAAATAAGATAGACAATAAGAAGTATTTTTACAAAAAATTGTCAAAATCCGTTGAGTAGAAACTGAGATATAAGTGTTTTAGTGTTCACAACTCAACGGTACAATACAAGCACAATATTCATCCAACTACAGATTCTGTTCTCGGACAATCCTTTCGTAATGATGCACAGCATTCTAGCCTAAACAAAATGAAATATGTATTTGAATGTGTGAGAATGTTCTGTATATTATTTCGCATAGTACTATATCGTCATGTGTTAATAAGAGACAATGAACAAATAAATTAAAAATTGCTTAAGGAATTTTCTAATAATTTAATGAAACAATTATGTGAACAGTGTGATATTCAACTGGAAGATAATAAACATTTACACATTGATGGAAAGCATTCGTTTTTGAATTTTTTTACATCCCCCAAGCCTGTCAAAAAAAATCACTGATAAAGTAACAACAGAAATCGACTGTTGAAGGTCGCAGCAGATTGATATATCATAGGGCTTATTTTGAGTTTATTTTTTGATCTTGTTATTACATGACGTGAAAATATTTTGATTTTCTTTCAAATCAAAAATAATAAAAAGAAAATTAATGTAGACTATAGCGAATTTAATAGTAAAATATCAATTGTTTTAAATGTTGTTGTGCACTAGTATTTAAAGTATAACTGATTAATAAATATTCAATTGAGAAAACTATAAAATAAAAACCAATTATGGAAACAAATCAACAATAGAATGACATACGAATTAGTAAGGTAGAAGAAACAAAGAGTTTATTGGTCTTCGATTTTTATGGTTTCTTTTTTTTTCATTTTTATTAACATACTCAACACTGTTACTGATATCAATAGACATGTACAGTGAAGTAAAACATCGTCATAATAGCTCTTTAAGAACGATTATTAATATCTTATTTTTTGTTATGTATTCATTTCGCTTAACATTTCTTTGTTGTTGTAACAGATTGGATGTGATAATGACAAATTTACACACGAAATCGACGCTCATATCCTCACGATAAGATAAAAAAGCCGAATACTGAAATTGAATGCTTGCTGCAAGGATTTATTTAATAAGGGTGTGAAAAACGAAAGCGATAGCTCAAGCAAAATGAAATCAAGAATGTTCACGCTCGATATAACTTTTTATTAAACATTAATATTATTCTCATTACATATTATAATATGAGCTCTAAAAATACAAAAAAAAAAAAAAACTAAACCTCAACAGGTATACTCATGATTTTATCATTTATGCTAATTATTTTTCTGATTGATTGCATTATGTTAATTATAATATTAGATTCAGTAGTAAAAATTTTCAAATTTTCGATTTTTTTTTTCTGTTCTATTTCAAATTGATTCTCAATAAATCATCGGAATCATTTTACTAATTTTTTTTTTTTAATTTTTGATTTATTTGAAATTTCTCTCTGTCTGCTATATCAAATGCAGAAGAAAATAAAGAAAAAAAAAAACACTTTAATATAATAGAAGAACAAGAAAAATGCAGAACAACAACAACAACTATTAACAGTTTTACAAATAACTGTTGCCGCTATTGTTACTACAAATTATTTTTCATTTCGTTTATCCTGACACACAGCAATAATAATAATAGCAAATCGAAAATGTGTGCATATGTATGTGTGGTATGTGAATAAAAGAAAAATGAGCTCAAGACATGAACATATTCATTCGAATTGAATTGAATTAAAGAGAAAGGAAAAAAAAAAAATACAAACCGCATAAGTACAAGCCAAGAAAAAAAAAAAAAAAGAAAATTGCACAAATTGAGAATGAAACAAGAACGTACATGAGAATAACTAATGAAGTCGATTTTGATTACTTTTTGCTGCTAATATTCGATCGATCATACTTTTAGCATATTTAACACGAGTAAACAATTGTTTTGAACAACCACATTGTTCTAATCCTGCTAAACGATATGTACGAATTTCACGATGTTCATTTATATAAGTAACAGCACTCATTAATGGACATAAAATAACTTTAGTATGATCTTGAAAGAAATTAATCTAAACAAAATGTAAAAAAAAAAAAACAACGAAAAACTTCTTTGCCTCTTTCTTTCTATTTTAATAAGTTGATTTTTATCAAACCTGTAATGTGCCATTGGAAAGATAAAAAACTATAGCATTGCGTGTACGAAACCATGATTTAACAAATGGAAGCCGAGAAAGTTCATCTCCAGGTCTTGGAGCATGTGCAGCACCAGCCTTAACAAAAAAATTTTTTGTTTAAAAAATTTCTTAGACTTAAATGCACCCTCACCCATTTCTCAAATACAGTTCATAAGCTTTTTTTACTTCTAATACTAGAAAATATTTCGGAATGTAAACTATATTTTACAAGAAAGGAAGAAGAATATCACTGCCTTGGAACTAATTCTAGTTGTAGTTCTGAACAGAAAGCCGACCTCAAACTAAGTTCATACGCTTGATCGTTTAAACTTCCTATACAGAAAAACAAACTACATCGTAGTCGGTATACTATCGAACGAGTAATTCGAAACTAATGGCTGTTAGTGACTTATCCAAGGTCATTCCACGGTTAGTAGTAATGAGTTTTGATCACAATATTTTGTGAATATGTTTCGAACAGTACAGTCACTCAGCTAAAAATATAATGCACCGCTGATTTTACAAAAAAAAAGCTGCATTCAAAAGAAAATCACGTATTTTTTTTTTTTTGAGTACCCTTCTCAGGACTTGTGTGTTTGTATTCAAACGGAAGAACGTAGAAAGAAAAACAAGAAAAAATAAACACTCCAAATAGTGTCTAGTAAATGTAAAAAAGAAATTTCGTTTTCACCAGACATATTGCAATTGAAAAAGGGAGAGAACTTATTTTTAATTCTTATGTTCTACAGAGAAGTATCTGAGAATTTTTACTCTAATACATAGAGATTGATCAACTCTGACAATTTCCAAATTTTTTGATGAACTATTCTTCAGAAAGGAACATACGTTTCCTTAAGTAAAATTTACCTTAAGCAAATGTTCGTCCATATAAGAAGTAAAATACTGAAAACAAAAGAATCAACAAAAATTAATGAAGAATAAATAAAATTATAATGATTACTTTCAGTAAAGTAACTTTCTTTTTTAATTGATCGGAATAATCTTTCATAGTACATAAATGTTCATAACCTTCTCTATCAATATATTGTAGATTTTCAGCTCCACCAGCGGTCATAATTAAACGTGTTGAATCATTAAATAAAACACCAACAGAATCATCACATAATTGATAACCTAAACCATATTTATCGGAATAATCAACCCATTTTGATATCCAAAGCATTGGTGCTGATGCGGGATCTTCCGCTTCATCTTCATGTTTATCAAGTTTTTCATTTGGTTTCATTTGTATTAAATGTTCTAATTGTCTTTGAAGATCAATAGCTAAATGTAAATCATCATTGACTTCTTCATTTATTCCACTTGTTGGTACAAATGTTTGACCATCAAGACCTGTTAATTGTCTAGCCATTTGTGATGATAAAACAATATCAGTTTGATTAGGTACAGCTGATGCTGCACGTCCACCAAGACCATGAACATCAGTTGCACGTTCATTCATTAATATTGGTGCTGGTAATGTAACAACTTGTTGATGACGTGATGCAATTAATACTTGTTCATTTTGTTGTTGTTCTGTAAATGGGCGACGTTGTTGTTGTTGTTGTTGTTGAATAGTTGTTGTTATTACTTTATTAGCATTAATCATAATCGGTTGTTGTGGTTGATTTATCGGTGCCATAGATGAATAACGTGGCGCAACTGTACAAACGGATGTTGGTAATGTTGCTGGTGTAAAACCAGAAAAAAATGGATCCATATAAATTTGTGCCATTGTTGGACGATCATATGGTTCATGTCTTAAACAACGTTGAATAAGTAAAACACTTTCACGACTTATACGATTATCTGGTATTAAATAATCATTTTTACGTATTTTTGAATATGTATCTTTTAATGATGATGTTTCAAATGGTGGTTTACCAAGTAATAATGTATATAGAATACAACCTAAACTCCATACATCAACTTCATAACTATGACCTAGATAGTAAAAGAATATTAAAAACAAAACAAAATATTTGAACTTAAGATTTAACCTTTCTTATTGATCACTTCAGGTGCAACTATAACATAAAGAAGAAAAAAAAATAAGAGAAGAAAAACAACAACAACAAAGACGTACTATAATTTGGAGTGCCACATAGTGTTCTAAATAAAAAGAAATTATTAATATAGTTAGATATTGCATTCAATACAGAATATTATCCATTCAAATCTAGTTTAAGAAATTTGATGATGAAAAAAGAATTCATGTATATCTTAGAAAAGCATCACTCATTTTAATAGAATAAGTGATCACGTAATAGATCCGTATTCATTTTTTCATTCTTATATATATATACTTAAGTGATTCATTTATAGAATAACTAAAATTTTACTTTTCTATTTCTTCTATGAAAGATTTACTTTTGAAAAGAACGTAAAATTTTCTATGTTTAATAACAAATAAAACATATCTTTCGCATTGAATTTTACCGTTTTCTATCAGCTTCATTTTCTATTCTAGTTGCTAAACCAAAATCTCCAATTTTAATTTCCATTTGGTCATTAAGAAAGAGATTTCCCAATTTAAGATCTCGATGAATAATACGTTTGTCATGTAAATAAATACATGCTTCAACAATTTGTTTAACAAAATAACGTGTTTCAGGTTCCGTAACTGTTTTTCGTCGTCGATGTAATTCCATTAATGACTAAAAAAACAAATTTTTAATACTACCAAAACAAAAAAAAACGAAATCTTTTTACTCGTCGTCTGCAAAGTTCAAGGATAATATAAACATTATTTTCATCTTCAAAATAAGAAAAAAATTGAACAATATGTTTATGATTAAGTGATTGATGTATTGTCACTTCTTGTTGCATCTAAATAAAATAAAAATTGAATTGATTTAAGAAAAATTGTTTTCTTCTACTTTTTCTTTTTGATGAGGTTTAACAAGCATTGATTTAGGTACAACTTTTCCAGCAAATGCTTGACCATTACTAATATCGATCAATTCATAGCATCGAGCGAAACCACCCTAATTTATATAGAAAATAAAATATAAAAATGAAAAATAATCAACTAACTTTGCCAAGAAATTTGCCTTTGGAATATTGAGTACGTGTTCGTGGATCAATAATAACATTTGGAATATTAAATTCATCTTTTGTTGAATCCATTGTCTTAATTTTTAGTATTATTTGAATTATTCTACAATATTTATAGAGATTTCTGTTTCAAGTTCTTATTGATCGTAAAAAAGAACCAGTATGATCATCTAGAAAATTAATAGTAAATGCGTTAAAAGTGTGATCAGTCGTTTCGTCGAATAGAGGAAAAAACATAATAGTCAAAATAGGCAATGATTCAATTGCATACACACATATATATATACATATATGTATATGTTGTATAGTCGATTTAAATTCTTTCTTCTGCATTGATATCGACCTCGATAGTATAAAATGGCAATTCTACTTTTTTTTGTAAACAAGTCTTTGTCCGCCAAAAGACCAATGAACCTTCATATTATGATTGGTTGCTTTAAACTAAAAAAGGAATATGTCATTTGTATGCATAAATCGAATCTGATTAAAAAAAATCCAAATGAAAGTATATATATGAATAAATAATCATGATTGGTTTTCTTTTTTAAATAAAGTTTGCCTATTAATCGGAAGAATAGCTGAAAAAGAAATCTATTAATATAAATTTAGAAAAAAATTTTATGAACTTGTTTCTTATATCATAAACAGTTATTATGTCAAAATAAATGTGGACTTACTGTTTGCTTTTACATTTTGATCAATGTCGTTTTAATGGATTATTTTGAAACTTAATGACTTTTCACATGCATAACCATTACTGGCTTCTATAAAAAATGTAAATGAGATCAAATAACAGGTAACATTCACGTGTGTATGTATATATTCGCTTACTTTGACGTCTCTTACAGTATAATATCAAATGACAAATGGCTCACAACATTCTGTAGTGGTGATCGAATAATTAGAATATGTATTGAATAGTAACAAAAAATAAGTGACATTTATCAAAGCATAATATTTCTTTTTAAAGACTCTTCTATTAACCAAAATAGGTTATTTTTATCGAAAATTATCAATCATGATATGTATGCACTATGAGTTATTAGTTTAACAATCAATCAAAAAGTGTATTTACAAAACATACCAATAATCTTATTCCATAATTACTCGATAGAATGTGAAGAATTATTATTTATTGTTAATGATGTTGTATAACTGTTTAATATACGAAATAAATTTGTACTTGTGTGTTCATTCTGATGTTCTTCAGAAATGATGTCGAGCATCTCGACGATTACAAACTTTGGTATTTTATTTTTTTTTGTACCATTCTATTAAACACGTCTTTCTCTTTAAGTAGTAACCATTGTCTTTGTTTTTTTTTGGAGGGGGGGGGGGAGGATTTAGTAATAAACATAAAATTCAAAAACCTTGGCATAACCATGTTGTTGAGTAGCATCTGAAACAAAAAAAAAATTATTCTATCAAGGCAAAAATACAATCAATTTGCGTCTAGAGAAAAAAATCGACTTTAAGGTCAATAGACATAGAGATATTGTATTGTGATCGGTTGCTAAGTGAAAATAAATTGAAGTTTGATTTGATCTTGTTTTTTATCGTAATTTATTAGAAAAATTCTTATTTGTTAATTTTTGCTTTAGTAATTTTTTATTTTCTTTTAAAAACCGATTTATAGGATAGAGAGCGCTAAGATCGATTTGTTCATGTGTAATGCATAGTTTGTCTTACCAATAGTATTCAACTTGAACACATTACTCACAGATTTTTTATTCTTATTAATGTCAAAACTCATAACATCTGTTTGTAGTACGAAACTAACGAAGATATATTTGTATATTCAAGATCAACAAAGATATTAAGCTTCATTACTAGAGTGTAGCCCTAGGTGTTAGAAGGCTTTCCTTCATCTACATGCACACTCTTATGAAGAACACCGTTTAATATAACTGATGGTTGATTATTTAATGTTCTAAATTTCATCTTTTTAAAGGTCTTTACATCATAATACTTTTTGAATTCATAACTATCTAACAAAAGAGTAAATCTTCTTAATCGAAATACATGTTTCAGTCAAGTGCGGCAATATTTTGTCTGCCGTAGAATGAAATGTGATAAAGAAAATTATATTGGTATTTGCATTTCTTAGTGATACACTGGCAGAACTAGTCTATATTATGAAAAATTTATTTGCCTGTAGATATGTTTGAGCAACACACTTTTATTTCATGTTCCGATCAAACAAGATATTGAGCGCTGAACTAGTTGTCTCTCTGAACAAGTGAACTGATTCATTCTCAAGGTATTTTGGGAAACTTAATTTTATGGAATCTTTAATAGTCCAAAAACATATTTAATAACTGTAAATGAATAATCATAGTCTTCATACGAAGTAGAATTCAGATCAACCTCATAAACTATGCCATCCAATGTTCTACTCGAGTCAATGTCACTAGATTGGATTCCTCAGACGTATTTGAAATCTGATTGCGTATGATACATTTCGATCGAATTTATGTCGCTAGATACAATTAGATTCGATCGTTAAAACCTTTCACATCTGACATGAACAGCATACTTCATCGTGTCAAATAATTATCAAAACAATTCGTCATGGTCAACAGTTTCAAAATCTTAACAGCGAAAGCTATCGAATGTTATAAGATCTGGTTAGTTGCAGTAGCCGAATCTCATCGTTTTTGATAATACAAATTCAGCCAGAATATACTTACATTCGACTATCGTATACAGATGAAAAATACTGTAACTAATCGAGTATTATCGAACAATGTTCGATCCATTGGATTTCAGTATGCAGCACGACTTTGAACTCATTCGATTTGATTTGGTCAAGCAAAATTGAATCTGACTGATGGTAGAATAGCATCTAAGTAAACACTAGTATCGCTTATCATAGTCTGCTCAATGTTATAGGACCGATTTCAGTAACTGCGTGCGTACGATAGTGCTTGACGGTTTCAATTTGGCTGATAAACAACACAAAGGAGTCTTATAGATTTGATTCTATCAGCGATCACTTTGAAACACTTTTAGTGATGAGTTTAACACGATAGAGATGCATCCCCAGAGGGTGATATAATATTATCAGTTGTTGGCCCCCTTCTTACAGTGTGAAATTAAGTAAACTACTACTAAAATATCTGACCATATGCTATTTGGTGCTACTTCTTCAAATCAAACTTGGTCAGATAGCTATAAAAATGGAAGCTAGTACTTATCAAAAATGATATATTTGTAGTCTCGAATTTAGAAAACAGAATTATATCAATACTTTGCCTTTGATCAAAAATATAGATAAGAAAGATATTTGAAAAAAAAAAAATTTTTGTTTGTTCGAAATTTATCATACAAATAAATCTCCTGTTATAGCGATAAATAGTAATGTGATAGAAGAAAGAACTAAAATAAAAATATTTCACTTCAACTATTAAGTTCATACAAAGAAAGAAATGAGTAATCGTGCGATCGCAATATGACCATGTTAGCAATTAAAGTTTCTTGAAGTTGACATTCAAAAAGCCAAGTCAATTTTAATGTTATGCGGCAACTTTTGTATCCTTTTTGATATTTAATCAAAAAGGATAAACAACATCATATCGGCTTAGTACTCATTCTTCAGAAAAAGTAAAATAATATTTTTAAATTCTACTACTAATGATTTCTAATTGTTGAAAAACGTTAATTTTATAATACACATTCCACGCTATCTGTTTTTTTACCACTATTTTTGTTACATATACCAGATACATTGTTCACTTAGGGGTGTGGATGCGGACAATTCTTCATGCTGTTTTATATCGTAACAAACAATCACCGAAATGACAATATTGTTTTCGAAAAAATTGCTCTCAGTTACATGTGACAGTAGAAACGAAAGAAAAAACACGTAATTAATTCTTTTTGATATATATAAATAGAGTTCTCTTATATTTTACAAAGAAAGTTAAAGAATTTTCAGTAATGTTTTATGCCTTGTTCTTTTGGTACTGTCATGTCTAGTCTATTTTTCATTCATTTTTTCTGTTGTCTAGAACCAATGTGTATTTCCTCAACAAGATGATTCTTCAAGAGTCACAAAAATAAATCCAAAGCATAATTGTTTGGAGCATGATGAAAAAAAAAAATCTGATGTCGCTTGTTACACACTTTGTTTATCTTACAACATCAGTCCTTCTTTCATTACATTTCTTTTCGTAAAATTGACTTTTGCTTTTTTAACATAAAAATGGCCTCCGAACAGTTATTGGAATATTGCAGCGAATGTAATGTAATTGCGGCATGGTACTGCGTTCAGGATAATGCTAATTTTTGTGATCAACATAATACTTTAGCACATTCACTTAAGTCACAAAAGTTACACAAAATTGTCTCTATTGGTGAAAAAACCGTTACTATCGAAAATCAAACTGCTAAACCATTGAATTGTAAAGCTCATCACATGCCACTTTCTTTATATTGTTTATTTTGCAAGGTAATACAAACAAACAGTTCAAAATAGATTAAATTTCATGGATAAAAAATGAAAATTGATGTACAATAGTTATATTTGCTTAGAAGTCTTTCTAACAATAGGCATGCGAGATTAATGTAACCATATTATTCTCGGTTCCGTTGGATTTCGGCTTATGTTATAAATATTCTGTAGAAGAAAACTCTTCTCTTTCGAACTATACAGAACTATCTCAAATTATTTTTATCAAATTTTTCGTAATATAGACTCCTCACGATATAATAGGGAAATTTAGATTTCGAAAATTTTGATAGAATTACTTGAAATAGTTCAGAGTTATTAGGCCTAAATCAGAAGTCTCTATAAAACTCGTATAACTTTTGAACAGAACAACTTAGACAAGTCAGTTCTGCATAAATCGAAAGACAAAAATTTTCTTCGATGAAATAGTTACAGTATAAAGTGAAATCCAACTGGGAAGTTTTTCATAATGTTGTCAACAAATATTTTGTATAAGAATTAGTGTTGAGCATCTTAACAAAATAAAATTAGGTTTCTGTCATTTTTCGATTTCAACTGTGATGCCTTTGAAATTTATTTATTTTTTATTAAATACTTTTTAACAAATTAATATAGAAATCATTAAAATGAAATATTTTACTATAATATAGATTTCGATTGAAAACTGAGAACAATGGCGAAAATCATCTTTTGCTTATTAACTAGTAAATAATTGTTTGAAAATCTGTAAAACAAGATTATAGCTGAATTACGATTAACTTTTTTTAAAATATTCGACTATTTTGTGTCATAATCATTATTCTCAAGGTTCATTTTAACATAATTTTTCTACTTGTTATTAGCATAGACAAATTGATTAACTATGTACAAATCAACTATCATATGTATAATTTATATCATCAATTGTATTATGTTGTACAAAATTCATCAGTAATTGCTTCTTTTTTTTTTTGTAGGACGTTTGTTGTGTTGCATGTCTATCGGTTAATAGTCATAAACAACATAATGATCAAGTAAGATCAGTTGTTGATGTAGCAAAAGGAGAAAAAAATATATTGAGCAAATATCTGGAAAAAATTCGAAAATTACAGACTACATTTATGAATGAATTGAGTCAATTACAACAAGTACTTAACAGTAAAATTAAATAATTGATTATAGAAATTTTGTTTCTTGATGATTAATTTATTAGATATTGATTCTATTGAATCGAAAAGTAATCAAGAACTTGACAAACAATTTGATCGAATTGTAGTATGTGTAGAAGCTAGACGAAATGTATTGAAACAACGATTAAAAGAAAAATCTCAAGTATAAGATAATAAATTTAACTATATTATAAAAGTTTTAGTAAATTTTTCAGACATGTCGTGATAATATTTATTCGAAACAAGAAAATCTTAATAATATCAATTCGAGTTTAAAAAAATGTTTAGAAGAAGGAAAACACGTATTAACACTCAATGATTTTGCTGCATTGTCTCGATCGAAAGGTATTATTGATAAAATGAAAAAAGTTGAAAACGAAAATGTTGAACATCATCATTATAATCATTTGCCTGACTCGATTTCATTTCATATCTCAATTCAAACTCTTCTCGAAATGATTAATACGGCCGGCATTGTAGGAGAAATACGTGAGTATTTTATTTTCTTCGAAATATTTTATAGAAAAAAAAAAATCGATGCTCTTTTATAGCTGCACCATCATTTATAAAAGAGAACTGTAAAGTTGATCGTACCAATCTCGAAGTTGAATGGAAACCAATTCAATGCGAACCACCAATAACAGCTTATGTCTTGGAACTTGGGACAAATAATATGATTTTTCATGAAGTATGCGTTCTTTACTTTTTCTTCAAAAAAGAAAATTCAATCGAAATTTCGATAGAAAAATTGTTTTAGAAGATCATCTGAAATATATAGAATATCGATTTATTCTGTAGGAAAAATTTCTTTTGGAATCGAATCGAGAGTGAAAAGGAGGCGACTGAAAAACAATCTTATCTACCATCATACTTTCGAAAAAATATGGTTTACAAATAACTTCAGTACTGATCGAATAGTTTTACAGAATTGAACAAGATAGAGATTGTCCAAGGACTTGTTCTATATGTCATTTATGACAGAAACATACTTGATACGAAGAATTAGAATAAAAAATCTTAAATTGGCTTGTCAAAAAACGATGAATGTACTCTATAATTTTCTTGATTCCAGTAGTTTTATTAAATTTTTACAGTCAAAAATTGATCCAATGGTTTGCCATAATATTTTGTGAAAATACATCTGCATTAGACGAAAATGTTGCTGAGTTTTGATAGAAAGAAAAATAAATGTTACATGTTATTTATTAATAGGTTTATCGTGGTTTGGAAACAAAATGTCATCTGCAAGGTTTAAAATCAAGCACATCTTATGTATTGCGTTTATATGCATCTTATGAGAGACAAAGTGGAAAAACTATTCTACTATCATTAAAAACGTTAGATTTTGGTTTGTTTTATGCTTTTATAATATTCTTTCAAATAAATAATTTTTTTTCGATTTGTCTTAGATTTAAACAATTGGATATTATCTGTGTCCTCCTCATATGCACCATTGAATGCTGAAAATACACGTGAATCATTGTTAGATGGACAGTTTACAACAGGTGCTGCAACTTCCTACAGCTATAGTAATGAATGGATTAAAGCTACATTTCATCATCCTGTTCCAGTAACAAGTGTAACAATTGCACCACTGTATAAAAATCCTAAAGTATGGAACCCACAAAATGGTAATTCTGGCACTTTACAATATTCTCATGATAATAACAACTGGATAACTGTTGGAACTATCGCTTATGTTGGAAGACAACAGCAAAAAATTGAGATTGATAATGTTACAGCTCAATATTGGCGATTATGTCATAATTGGTGTCTTGGAACAAGCAGCTTTTTATTTAAATAAACATGATGTGAAACTAATCTACAACGTATGAATACTGAATGCTGACTTTAAATCTTTTTGTTGTCTTCTGCGGAATTCAATATATTTTTAAAAAATTTGTAAGACAAGCAGAATTGTCTTTACTGTTCGAATACTATCTATTTCTTGAAACTTTCATGGCTATATTAATTTCATTACATAAATTTCGAATATCAGATCAACTAATTACTATCCATTTGAGAATATATAATATGTTCCATTGATTTTTGAATAACTTTTGATAGAAACATTATATAGATATCTACAGTTTTCATTATTCAAGAGAAAAGATCCCGGGACTATCGATATATATATATATATATATATCAAAATTCGATTAATCAATGATTGACCAATCATATGAGTTCTTAGTAGAGATTTTTGAAAATGGTATTCTGAAGCCACTTCTTTTTCAATTTAGACTTATAATATAAGTAATCAAAAAAGAAAAATTCTTCTCTTTCGATCTACTCAAGGACATCATTCGTAACTTCTTCCATTCATGAGTTATAAGTCATTTTCTAAGATCTGCGATCTCAGTCCGTTGGCCTAGGATCATCCAAAAAAGTGGCTAGAACGAAGTGATTTACTGTACTGAATCGAATAGTGATATTTGCTTATAGATTCAATCTAATCAGTCACATTTATCTCTATGTTTCTAAAATTTCACAATCAGTCATCATGTAACGAAGGAGTCGATATTTTTGAAACATTAATATGACAGTGTCATATCAGTTCGAATATAAAAACAAATATCATCATTTGATGCAATATTGCAAATTACTTCTATCCAGCTACCTTTTCTAGTGATCTCTAGTCAATTAACTAATATCGGAAATCTGTTATAACTCTTCAAAGAAAGCCGTTAGAAATGTCGATCATGAGTAAATCGAAAGAGAAGAATTTTTTCTTTTCGATTAGTCATATTACGAGTCCAAATCGACAGGAAACTAGCTTCAGAATGTCATTTTCAAAAATCTTCACTAAGAAGAGTGTGGATGTGAGTGTGTAGATTCGGATGAGACAAGATTCACACTCCCACCCACATCGTTTCAGCATATTCTTTGCATTGGGAAAACAGAACATTTATGGGAAAATATGCACTATGGCGTGTAGGATTCTTTTTTATTCGGTTTTAAATATCTTCGTTTTGTCAACAATATAAGAAAGTACACAGCTTGTGAGAAAAAAATGTATTTTTAAAAGATCTGAAAAATCAATTAAAGTAGAAAAACGAAAATATACATCCACCGCAGAAATGAGTGTTCTTGCATNTGTATTGTAATTCAACATTTACCGAATCTTAGTCGAGCATTCTCAACAAGCATGCTAGATGTTTTACAAATATTATCTAAACCAAATATTCACTTAACCATTAATATCAGTGATCACTCGTTCGTCAGCATCTCTTAGAGTTGACATTCACGGCTGGTCGCCTCCTCTGTAAAATCTATCTACTGAACAAATTACCCTCTGGTTTGTACAATCTGTTCAAGTAACATTGTGCTTCTCTGCATAATATTTCTAGCTTATAAGTAACAGAATCCTCGACTGAAAATTGAAAATACTCCTGCTATAATGGAACTAATCAGAGATACAATACACTGCATCGACGCCTATAAAATATCAATTTAGGCAAGCGATTGATTGGTTCTAAGTCAACATAGCAAAGAGCGGACACGAACAGGACACAAATAAACTTTTGTACTTGACTACATTCCAAACATGAACACTCGGATTGGATCAAAATTGTTCTTGAAAAAAATATGCGATTAGTTAAAAATTCTGCCTTAGAAAACTCATAAGACAAAACCTAGATATAGAAAACAGCTTAAAGAGTGAAACTCAGGTCAGAGAGAAGGTTTGGTTGATAGCTGAGTGTCGAAAACGTCGGAGTCATAGAGAACGCGGTGGCTTGAAGACTGATTGGACCAATAGCTACTATAGAGGAAAATATATGATCGAACCCACTGCAGAAAATACGGAACTTAATGAAGGAAAAACTGGAGATGAACATGGTTGGTCGATAGTATTCCTCAAAGCATACATAGCCATGTTACATAGTTAATCTGATATTTCAAATATATACGCAAATACATCACTGTAGAAAAATGTCCATAAATGCATAAAACCTAACGTATTCGGTTTTTCCTTTTGCTGCTCCTCTAAGTAACGGGAATAAACTATTTAAAGTTAAACACATTGACCGGTGCTCAACAACTTGCTACATCAGTCAAAACAATTGATGGAATCAATGTTCAATGCAATGCTGAAGAAGAACCAGTGAACGAGTGGACCTAGTGTTCCGGCAATCGTGATGGTTGGTGTAAACATGGCAATGATTGCATCTATCGTCATATAACATGCAAGTACGGTGATGAATGCATGTACGATCAATTTCCATTTAGCCATTCGACTCAGAGAAATATTGTACCGAATCCAAGATATAGATCGGCAGGGTGTGGGTGTGGGTGTGTGTAATGGAACGATGTGAGACAAAAGGATGATGAACCTCCGCATCCACACTCGCGTCCCACATCACGTCCCACCCACACCCACACCAGAGATGGCACCGGTACCGATAACCGGCCGGTCCGATCCGGTCCGGTACCGGTCTGGACTTTGGACCGACTGGTCGACCGGTTTAAACCGGTCTAACCGATCCAAACCGGTCTAAACCGGTCTGGCCGGTTTAAACTGGTCTGACCGGTCTAAACTAGTCTGATCGGTCGAAACCGCCTTATACCGGTCCATATTCTTCACTTTCCCGCTCTATGATGGGAATCAGATGAAGAAACAATTGGCACCAAGACTAGTTCCACTGACCACACAGGAATTTATTTTAAAAACAATTTTCAAAATACCCATCAGTGAGACTATTGTTATCAACGGGGAAACATTATGCCAATATGCGTGAAAGTAAGAAGGTAGCCCGCAAGAGAGTTCACTATGAAACAAGGCTTCATTTCAAGCCTTAGTCTGCTGTCTGTAGATCGATATTTTGTCGGTAGGCCGGTTTTTCTTTTATAAACTGATATATCATCAGCATCATGTTTAGTGCCGGTAGGCAAGTTTTACTCGGTAGACCGGCCGGTCCGGTCCGGTCTTATTGTTTTGGGCCGATACCGGTAGCGGTCTGAAAAAACTAGACCGGTTCCATCTCTGACCTACACCCATCCATACCTTCAATTCAAGTTCTTCCTCTAAAAACTTCTCTTGATTATTATCACACCATGTAGCATTTTATCAAAAATGATCTAAAAGGAGTATTGAAGTATATAGGGTGGAACTTTAACTTCTTCTTCTGACTACCATACATTTTGGTAGACACTAATTGATGTATGATGTAAGGCCGTGTATCAATAACATCTCGTTAAAATATATAAGCTGATTCGTTAGCGCATTCATAGAAGATTGCGTAAAACGACGGCGAAGAAATTTGTATCAAGATAGATTGAATATAGCAATATGCCTATTAATAGCGATAACAGCTTTATCGTATTTCTCATTTTAATCCCGAAGGGATTGCGCTTAAAGCTTTTTCGCTGGGATTATTAGTCTGTAATCTCTTATCATATGTGGTCAAATAACAAAGCAAGAGAAATGAAACACGTTCAGCCTTTTGACTGATTTCTTGAAAAAAGTGCAAACTTTTTGTGACAATTTTTCTTGGCATAAAAGTTATGAAATGCAATTGTCTTTTTTGTTTGACGACTATGGAATAGATCAAATGTATCGCTTGATCCATTCTATGACCAATTTCTTAATAGCATTATTGTAATATTGACTGAAGTTCATATCGGTCGTTGCATTATCTAATTTACAGATTGATTTTAGATCATTTGTACTATTCACAGTACTACTACTGAGGAAAATACTCGTTTGGTCGGTTTCAATCTTCGCTATACACACAATCGGCACTATGCAGTGTCGTTCTTCATGATCATAGGTAAGTTCATCCATATTTCTCACTTCATTTTCTTTACTGTTAATGAGCCACTTGTTGCTATCAATTGACCATTTGACAATGGTAGAATACTGTTCGACAAACTGTTGTTTGATTCGAGCCAGCGTAGTTACAGTTCGAGGGTAAGGATCATCGAGTGTCAACATATTAGTATGGGGGGCTCTGGGGAAATATGTTTCGATGCATGCCTCTTCGAGGTTACCAAGCAAAGTATCGATCGTAGTCAAATGGTTGATTAATTCGTCTATATGCCACCTTCTCTCAATTGAGCCAAATGCACGTTCAAACGTATGAATTATTTGTTCGTACACTTTTGTCTTATCTTGAATATCTCCTAATATACAGATACATTAAAATATCTTTTTAGCATTCGTACACTCTTACCTATTTTTTTCTCAATTATTTGTTGAAAGTCACTTTGATGGTGAGAAAGGCTTGTATCGTACATTTGATCAACCCACTTATCGGTGAGCAACCAAAACAAAATACTGCATATACCAGTTGAGTCTATTGTGGGATTGTTCAGTTGATTTTTCGACGACAACAGCTGTAAAAATGGAGATAATGTGTTATCTGATGTTTTTCGCGTGCCATCGATCGAACGTCGTTTCATAACGTGATCGAAAATTTTCAAATCGTCTTCATCACTTATCCGCACTTCTTGACTATCAATCCAACTCAAGCCAAAATCAATGAGTATAAGTTTAATCTCATCGATTGGTACATGCATATAATCATGATGCACCATGATATTATTCGGTTGCAGATTCCGATGAAGAACGTGATTCTCATGACATCGTTTAATAATGCCAAGCAATTGACGAGTTAGAGATAATGCTATATGAAGAGTAATCTCCGCTTTGTGCTTATTGATAAAATCTTTGAAAGTTAAATTGGAAACCACTTGAGTGATTATCCACATCGGCACATCGCCTTTTCGTTTCACATCAAGAATGTTACTCTGATAGATGGACGCCACCGACGGATCATCTAGACATTATGTGAACGAAAGCAAACAGATTATATATTGACAAAAAGACTGATTTCTACGTTCAACAAACGAAAAGAATTTGAAACCGTTACAACTTTTTGTCCAAACTGTTTCAACCAAAGTTAGATACTCATCCTCACTATGACAAACAAACTCTTTTTTTATCTCTGGACAATTTACTCACAGTAAGATCTCGTAACTTGAACATTCGGCACAGATCAAGTTTTTATTCGAAAGCAAGATAGAACGCTCATTCAGAAAATCGATACGTGGAACGTAGAAAAAATTGATACGTACTCGCATCTGACTTTTTTATACCGAGCTTCAGTAAGGTCGAGTTCATAGCTGATTGGCTATTGACATTACTAACAATCATGAGATCGACGAGAAGGAGAACAAAGTAAACGAAAAAACAAATCCATCCCAAAATTCAGAAGAGAAAAGTTCGGAAAAAAGTATCGAAGAACATCTAAGCTGATGAAAAATTAAGTGGTCTCATCATTCATGATTCTTTCTCCCTTTATTGGTCATCAACAGCATGTGTTCAAATTCAGACAGGCATACAGAAGAAAACATTGGATTTTAAAGCTCAGATTGATATGAAAGATAGTTGAGAACGAGAAGACCGATCTGACTGGAAATTTCAGAGAGGTTTCGTAGTTGATAGTTGAGACGAATTGAGTTATTATATTTTGCTGTTCAAGACACTATATAGTTCTCGTGTATTGATAAGACTGACCAGTAATGCCCCGATTCCATGCTTTGCTTCTTTACCAATTTCTAGATTATGAGAATACACCGGAGGGACCACCGAAACAACTCAAGACACTAAATACATTCCATAAGGTTCACATTCCTGCGACTTCTATCCACAAGTTAAAATCGAAACGATTACTTATCTATCAGGATTCCAGTGCAGATATTTCCCATCCTAAATAAACATAATCTAATGTTCGCGGATGACATAATCTGAATATTGAAGCTACCTTTTTCTAGAAACGAGGACGATCTTCATCCCTCTCAACTCAAAAATTTCAATTATTGTTTATACTACTGGTTTTGACTTCTAGAAAAAAAATTTTTTTCCGCAGGTGCCCGCTAGTCTTTCAAATACAATAACAGTAACTTTTGCTAGAAAGACAGAGACAAGTATTTGAAAAAAGTCTTAAAAACAGCAGTATTGTGGGCCGAAATTTTTACTATGAATTATTGGGACACAAACACATGTTCTTTGATAGAATCAATCAAATTGGTTATCATATTTGACTGACTCTAAAGGAGCACATTGAAAAACTGCATTTTGAACAAGTTTTACTCTAATACAAGATGATCGAGAAACAATTTCTCAAAGTGAAAGTCACATGGATCCGGAAAATTATTGCCGGTGATCGATTTTCTACTAACCAATTTTTAGAAGTTAAATCTTTCCTCCTTGCTCTGAACATTCTATTACCTGTACCAAACAAATCAGGTTCATGGAAAAACAATAAAGGTTACATTTTTATAGATAACTTCCATTCTATATAGCCGTGGTACTTAGTGCATTTACTATATTCTTGAGAGCTGTGAATAGAATAAAAAAGCTGTTAGCGCAATCCCTTGCGGGATTAAAAATGTGGAACACGATGGATCTATTATTACTAGTTAAATGGAAATCGTTTTGTTCCATTTCTTTGCGATACATTTGTAGCTAACCGTTTATATAATGCTTTAGAACTACAGTTCCTCTGTCACGGTCTGTGTTGGGTCACGTGAGTGTCTGCCACGGTCTGTGGGGGGGGGGGGCTTCAAGTTTCTACCCTTAAACACTTCAACACTCCTTTCAGATCGTGTTTCACAAAAAAATAAAGCTCTATCTTGATTCCAATGGAAACTGAAATTCATGAGAATTGAAATCAATGGTTAATCATATTGTTCTATTCTATTTCTACATACTTTCGAGTGCTTGCAACACTAGTAGTTCTCGTCGAGCTCGTAGTTCTTCGAGCTTACTCTTATGACAATATACTTTCATGGCGCCAAGACGATTATCGGTTGACTTGGTTGGATAGACCAAATAGACTTCGCTCGTGATATTACCCAGTCTCCGATTTGTCCATTTCCGTGGGGAGGGGGT